TCCCTGCCAGCGGTCAGCTGACAGAAAGGGGCAGGGCCTGGCTCCCTTATAAACCCTAGGGGCTGAGGCCAGAGGCGGTTCCCTGCCAGCAGCCCAGGAGGAAGGAGCTCTCTGCCATGGGAGAGAGGAGAAGCATGATGCAGGAGCAGTATCTGACACTGCTGTGAGATAAAGAATCCCTGGTACGCTTGAACGTTGTTATGGCTGGGCGGCTTCTGTTTACGTTATAGCCAAAAGGCTGGTGTTTAGGTTGCTGTTTGTCGTGGGTGGTTTGGGTGAGGCTGTTAGGGGTTGGAGGAGGCCTCATAGGGGACTCACAGGGGTGGGAGGACCCCAGCGCCCGTGAGGGTGCAGCATGTGGGGTGCACAGACCCCAGCCCCAGAGAGGGGCAGCTGAGAAGCCCCAGAGAGGGGGCGTTGCTGAGAAGCCCCAGTGCAGGTGCAGTGAGCCCCGGAGAGGGGGGCAGCGCTTGAGAAGCCCTGGAGAAGGGGGCAGCTCAACCGAGAAGGCCCCAGAGAGAGAAGGGCGGCGTTACTGAGAAGGCCCCAGAGAGAGAAGGGCGGCGTTACTGAGAAGGCCCCAGAGAGAGAAGGGCGGCGTTACTGAGAAGGCCCCAGAGAGAGGAGGCGGCGTCACTGAGAAGGCCCTGAGAGAGTGCGCAGAAACAGAGAGAGAGACAGGACTGGGGAGAGCCCGAGTGCTAGAGAGGGCGCGGTGAGAGAGAGACCTAACAATGTCAGGCACATCTGCGAGGCTTGGGGCATGGTACGGGGATGTTTGGAGCCACGCAAAGCCCATAAGGCTAGGGTGCCCCTGAAGCACCCATTGTAGAGCGGGACCCACAAAGAGTCCGGAAAACCACGGGGTCCGAGTAACTGGCAAGACGTGACTGAGAGGGAGTAAAAGGCAGCCTCCCAAATATATAGTGTTATCAAAGACGTGGCGGGCGAGAATCTGAGGGTGGCCTTGAGCCAACTTGGCACGGGAAGGGGGCCTTGAGGAGATCACGGTCCTCCTGCAGGACCCTGCCGTGACACTGATATAAATTGTCTGCACCTGTGTATATTATGTCTACCTTGGGGCTTCCCTCTAGCCCCCAAAATCTTAGCTAGGTAATTTAAGAAGGTATTTCCAATCTGGATTGGAAATATCATGGGAAAAGTTGTTCTAGTGGTGTTACATCATCCTCTACAATCGGTTCTGGGCTGAATCATGAAGAGGAGAGTACAAAAATTGAAACTAATAGATGTGGCAAAAATGGTGGGAAGATGGTGGAGTTGTTGGAAAGTTTGTTTGTTTGTTTGTTCGTTTGGTGTTTTTGTTTTTTGCTTTGGTTGCCCAAAAGATCTGGGATCTGAAGTTGGTTCTTGTTCTAGACCAGGGGTGTCCAAACTTTTTGAATGTGGGGCCAGATTATGAACTTTTTATCACCCGGTGGGCCGGCGAGCCATATTCAAAGACCTCACAGGAAGCGGTATCACATCAGGAAGTGATGTCATGTGACCTTTGACACCAATGAAGTTGCAGGAAGTGACAATGAAATGGGTCTGGAAATTTAAAATCCAAAATAAAAACAATATAAAATCAACAATGAAATAACAACTAACACTTGACTAAAATAAACATTTTTGCTTCTACTCACTTCTCAATGAATGAAAGAAGTATAATGCAGGCTTGCCCTGGGACACCTGGGCGTACAAGGGATGGGAACCCGTGGGGGGCCGGCCGGCTGTTGGCCTCCAGCAGCAGCAGCAGCAGCGAGGAGGAGCAGCAGCGCCTCAGGATGCTGCCCGGCTCCATCGGGGACGAGGAGCCTGGTCTTCACACGGTCACGCACACACGCACAGCCTGCCTGCCTCCCTCCTTGCCCCTGGCTCCTATGGAGGAGGAGGAAGGCGTGAGTATGACCTTGTGCTTCCTCCTCACGAGTGCACGCATGCATGTGGCACCCCCGTGCGGGCTCCTCAGCATCCCAACTGAGGACACGGCTCTGCTGACAGCTGGGCAGCCATGTTTCACAACTCGCATGCTCATCCCCACACCGGACCGTGCCACCCCAGCCCACGCCGCCCCTTCCCCGCCAATGCAGTGCAGACTGCCCCCAGCATGGGACTTAAAGCAGCTGCGTGATGGGCACGGAGGGGGCGGAGAGGGGGGTGCCTTGGCCCAGGACCTGGGATCTGCCTGGTGCAAGCTTACCTGCCCCGGCCTCCATGGCTGTGGTCGGGGGATCTGAGAGATGGGCCCTGCTCCCCCCAGGGAGAGGGTCAGCAGTCACTGGGAAGCCAACTGCCTCATAGTCCGTGTTTGCCGGTCACCTGCTGAGGGGCTGGGGTGGGACAAGGGGTGGGAACGACAGTAAACAGTGTTTACATTCATTTCCCGTCACAGCACCTTGGGCCTCAGAAAATGGCTTGGCAGGCTGTATGTTGGACTAACCAGTTCTAGACAAAGTTTTTTGACCCACTTTTCCACTCATTTGATCCAATTTATCCACCCTTGGCCTAAAAGTAGGACAGGAGAATAATAGCCTGTCTCAGGGAGAGGCAAACCGGGGAGACTCCCAAGCCCACGAAGGAAACCCTAGGGCCAGGAGCCACGGGTGAAACAAGAAAAGTGAAAGTAAAAAAAGGAAAATTACTTGCAGCAGGATGGGAGGAAGAGCGAGGACAATGGGGAAAGCCCACGCGAATCATTAACCGCGCCTTTATTCAGCTGCGGCCAGCGGATGACGTCAGCCCCAATCACCGGTCGGCAGAAATAAGAGGGCCGGTGGTGAGAGGGGACGGGCACACGTGGACACAGAGAGAGAGCCCGACCGTTGGGGTCAGCCAGGGGTGCGGGATGCTGGAAGAGCCTACGCACACTGGCTGCGGAGGGGCAGATGATCCAGACGGCGAGTCAGTGCCTGGAGCAGGAGTTCCAGCCACAGGCAAGGCAGGAGGTGAGCCGGTAAGAGGACTCAGGGTGTAGGGAGGAGAACGGACCTGGGAAGACCCAGAGAGAGGGCTGCTGCGAGGTGAAGAACCAGAGAGAGGGCGGCTGTGCTGGGAAGATCCAGAGAGAGGGCAGCTGCTCCAGGAGGACCCAGAGAGAGGGCAGACGCATCTCGAAGACCCAGAGAGAGGGTCACAAAAGCGGGAAACTGGAGAGAGAGCAGCTCTAAACCAGGGCAGGTAGAGTGGGGCCACAGAGAGGAGGCCTTGTCAGCAAGCTGATATGTAGAGGGGCTGTCTGTGCTCCACAAGGAAGCCCAGTAGTGGTGGGGTGACGCTTTTCTTAGGATTCGTTAAGATTTTCTTTGGATAAGAGAAGGGTGTTTTATGTTTCCCTGTGTCAAAAGGGGTTGAGGTCGAGCGGAGGCAGGAAAAGCGAGAGAGCGAGCGGTGGGCTCATTGTTTGGGGTGTTCAGGGGAACACAAGGTCGGCCACGGAAGCGACCGGGATCCGCCGGGCTGGGTAAAGGGCGAGGTACAGGGGAGGTGGAGCCTCGCAGAAAACACCAAAGGTGCAGGCGTCCAACAAGGGCAACCACACCGCACGAAGCCCCACCCACTGTGAAAGATTCAAAGTCGTGGCAGGCGAGAAAGGGGCAGCTTGCAGCACGTGTAAAGATCTCCTGTAAGACCACCTGCAACGGCAAAGCGAGTACCGGTGAGCACTTGAATTAAGGAAGCCTGGGACAAGATGTTTGAGGCCCGGCAGGTGTGTAGCCTTTATCTCCTTTTTCGTCCCCCAGTAAACTGTTCCAGTGATGGTTGCTGTAGAAATATTGTAAGACAGAAACAGCAAATTCACAGATCTAGGTCACAGTCTTGCAGAGACCATTGATGACCTCCATTTTTATACATATGATGTTTGTAAACATCCAGTGAAATGACTTCACCATATCCATAATTGTTTCTGGAGAAAAATGGCCAAAAAGGCTGGTAATTAAACTGGGGACTGATGGAAACTGTTAAACAGGAGAGCTGTTTTGCCTAGTGGCGTTTTAGTTAACAATTCAAAAGTTTTTATATAAAAAAAAAAAAGTGTTCTATAAAACACATGGGATTTTTATGCTTGGAATATCTGTAGCAATAAAGAGAAAATGACGCTTCATTTTTGGTTTTAGTACAAAAAAATTGGAAGAAAAGAAAGTCCTGAAGTTCAAAATCCAGATCTGGATTTTGTAACTCCACAAGTCTAGGATGAGAATGTGTAGCTTGAGCTCAGCCCATTATAGCAAGTCACTACATGTGCAACTATAAAATTTGAGATTTACATCCAGATCCTCCACCATTTTGGATCCACCAAGTCTGAGAATATTTGGACTTGGCCTTGAATGTGGATTTCTTCTGGGCTTGGAATGTCTCCAAGAGGAAGTCGCAAAGGTCTGTGCAGTCAAACCCCAATCCTGAAATCCCTACAGGCAAGATAGCAAAACCTCAGGGTTACTAGTACTTATAGAATTAATATAATCAACAAGGATGCCTCTCTTTCTATCTTCTTCCCATACCAAAGCCTGAAATACGATAGGATGGTTCATTCCTCTGAGGCTATCTCACAGGTTCTAGCAGACCTACTAATTCCTACTGGAGGTAGAAATACAACCCTTTTCCTCCCCTGAGTGGAACCAGCATATATGGGATGAGTTAGTCATGCAGAACCTGTTAGCATTTCATAGATAAATCTCAGGATTATACATGGCTATCTAGTTATGAGTTCTCTCTCGAAGGGCTTGGAGATGGCAAAACTTCAGAGCCTGGATAATCCCTTACAGATTGGAATATGATGGAATCTGGGAGGGATGTGGTTAGACACTGAAAACATCCCCTTTTATTGCAGATGATGTATTACTTAAGCCTCTGATCTGTTGGGTGAAGTTAACAAAGGCAGACTGCTCGTGTCTCTGCATTCCATGCTAGGATTGTTTTTTGACTGCAGGTAAATTTTGAGCTATATTTATTTGGGCCTGTAATATATTTAAACCTACCATAAGACTTATATACTAGATAGACAGAATACTTGCATTCCAAGGCTATCTCTGTGAGCTAATAGTATTATTGATTGCCTTTTTTTTTTCTTTTTTTTTCCTTTAGCTGTATTTGTGTCATCCCATCGTCTGTCCCACCCTCCTGCCAATACTTTATTAGAATGGAGCTGAGGCATGGAGTACATAATAAATACAGTATCCCTGTAGTATGTAAAATGAGCATTATGCATGATAGTTAAGATTAAACTAGAAATAAATCCAAACAAGTTAAATCCAAAAGTCTGAAAATGAATATTTTGGGCACTCCATACTATTTTCACTTTGAGATTGTGCGGGCCGGGAGCGACCCGAGCCCTTTTTCGTGCTGCACGCGGGCTGTGGCCAGCAGCCCGGGCACGCCGGGTTGGAGAGGGAAGGCCGTCGAGCTAGAATTAGGCACAAACGCGTATCGGTAGTTTAAAAGATTGTTTACTTACACCGAGATGGCAGTGGTGCAGGCTGAAAACTTGCTTAAGTTGCGGTTACAGACAGGAAAGAAAACAAAACTCGAACCTGCAGGGCACGAGGGTACGTCGCAAAGGGTTCCAGTGACGGGGAGATATAAAATACGAGGGTACGTCGCAATGGGTTTTGGCGACAAGAAAAATAAACCTGCAGGACTCGAACCCGGGTAGAAGAGCTCTGAGGCCGGTCGTAAGGGCTCGCACAAAGTTTGCTAGGCTCCATGGGTTCTCCTGTTCACTCATCCACACAAAGTTTGCTAGGCTCCGTGGGTCCGGTTCTCTTGTGTGCGGGAAGGGATACGTCTGGACTGCGCTCGGCGACGGGGAGAGGCTAGAGGTTGATCAGACCTTCGTTGCCTGCTTTAAATGCACTGGGTCCGTAAGGATCCACAGCGCTTAGAGATCTTCACACAGCGTGAAGTCTCTTCCTCCCTTGTTCGTGGAGTCCTTCAACTTGGGCAGAAACCACTCAAGCCTTTTGTACAGCTAGCAAGCCAATCACTAGCCGCCACGTGTGAATAATTTAGAACTGGCCAATAATGGGACTCGAATTAGCATACAAATGGTGGGAACTGTTTGCAACGAGCATTTCTGTGCTGCAACAAAGAAATGCACCCTGCAAAGAAAGCTTCAAATTGGCGGGAAATCCTCCCTTGCACCGGGGTTCTCTTTTGCAGCAGAAAACTCCACCGTGCAAGGAAGCTGCAATTTAGTGGGAACAATTTAGCAGTGCCAAAGCACACAAAACAAAAATCACACCCTTTGGGTTGTAACAGAGATGTTACAGATTCTTTTCTAGCTTCCACAGCACAATGAACTCTTACATGCACTACCTCAGAACTGGAAAAAAAAAAGTTATACCCTTTCTGGAGCATGTACATCACTGAACTTGATATAAACTGTGCTCATTAAGTACACTGTATTATGGGTGCTGTGGTATTAGCAGCTATGATACTGACCAGCCTCTAATAGCAGGCCTGAAACTGAGTAGCCCTGAAAATGGTAGAAGATAGTATTAGGGCTGCCAATCAAGGGCAGGGGTGGCTAGCCTGCAGCACAAATGGCATAGGCAGCCTCTGTATGTGGCATGCAACAGGGCAGGGAGCAGGAAGCAGAGCCTCAGATCAGGCAAAGGAAAAAGGATTGGAGTGGTACTTGGGTTTGGTGAAGGGCTAACTTGTGACCAACCTATCAAAAAAGGTTGGCCCCCATTGATTTAGAGCAGTAGTATCCAACCTTTGACCCTGTGGGCTGGGTTAGATGTGTGGTGTGAAATGGATCCATAGGCCAGATCCAATCTGTGGGTCTAATGACCATGTGCCCACAACCACTGTGGCCACAGCCCCATGCTATATCAGTTCTGTCAACCTGGGTCTGCTAGTCTGGGCCCTGAGCCCTCGCACAGGACCATGTCATTTGACCCATGAGGCTTGGAAATTTTGTTGGTGGGGGAGCCATGGCAGCTTTGTTGCTGGTCCCGTTCACCATATTTCCAGATCACATGGTTCTGTGGGCAAGGGGGTTGAGCACCAGGGCTATGCGAAGCTTTGGTAGCCGATTTTCAATTTGGCCTGATTTGGCGGCTGAATCTCCAAATCTGAATCGAATTGGGAGACCAGTTAAAAGCTCCGAATCAAATTGGAAGCCACCAAATAAATTCAGAAAAGATCTGGCGCCAATTTGGATATTTGGCCATAGACTAAACAGGCAGCAGTCCTCACCATGCTGGACACAGCTGCCTCCAGCTGGTAAGTCTGTGGTGGACAGAGGGCGGAGGAAATGGGTATGGGGGAGGGAGGGATTGGGGCTGGGACAAGCTGCCAAGCTGGGGTGGGGGTGACACAGGACTCTGGGAAGGGGGCTCCTGCCACTGCGCACCGCTGGTCCGGGAGGGCATGGGAGCGGGGGTGTGCCCCCAGATCTGCGCGTGGTGGGCTGGGCCAGGTTGTGCTCCAGGAGGCTAGCCCCAGCCACCTGCTGCCGGGCTGTGCTCCATGGGGCGGGTGGAGCCAGGGCTGCACTCCGGAGGGCTAGCCCCATCCACAGCCCGGAGCCCAGCCCTGGTTCCACCCACCCTGCAGAGCACAGTGGAGCGGAGGTTATGGGGGCAGGGGGGGCTGCAGTCACCCTAAAATTCCCCGTAGCCCCTACCGCCGGTCCTGCTCTGATCCAGGTGCATGCACCCAACCCCATGCCCTGCCGCTGGTCGCCCAGCCAGGGCAAAGCTGCAGCTTATCCAAGAGGCACAGGGAGCCTGGGTGAGCGGTGGGAGGGTATAGCCCCTGCTCCCAGCGCCTTCTACCACTCAGGCTGGTCCAGCCAGTTCCGCTCCGATCTGGGTGCATGTGTCCGCCCGCATTTCCTGCCGCTGCTCACCCAGCTGGGGCAAAGCTGTGGCTTGTCCGGGAGGTGCAGGGAGGCTGGGCAAGTAGTGGAAAGGCATAGCCCCCGCTCCCAGTGCCTTCTGCTGCCCGTTCAGAGTGCAGCCTGGTCCCACCCGCCCTGCACAGATCTGGGGGCACATGCCCAATCCCATGCCCCCCTGGACCAGTGGCACACGGCGGGAGCCCCACTCCATGTGTCCCGCGCCCCCCTGCCCCAGTTGGACAGCTTTGTCCCAGCCCCAATCCCTCCCTCACTGTGGGCGCATTGATCTGCCCGCCCGCCCCCCCCTGCCCCTTCCCTCCCCTCTTTGCCCACCACAACAGACTGACCAGCTGGAGGCAGCTTGTGTCCAGTGTGGTGAGGACTGCTGCCTGTTCAATCGCTGATTCAATTCGGAGGAGATTCGGCCCAATTCAGCAGTCAATTCTCCAACTCCAAATCAAATCAGGAGACCCATTAATCTCTCCAAAACAAATCTGAAGCCTCTAAAACCATTTGGAGAGATTTGATGATCGGCCATAGACACAGCGTTATGTTTTTTCTATGTACCTTGAGGTGCCAGGCATGGCTTGTGAACGCTGAGATGGTGGGGCAGATGGAGCATCCTACAGGAGCACAGGAGGATCCCCCACGTGCTTAGAGGCAGACCCTGTGGGGGAACCCCCTCCACCCCTAGCTCAGCAACTGGTGCCTCCTGGATCTGGTGGGGCACCTGGGGTCCCCTTGCTGCCAAGCCACAGGAGGGGGAGCAGTATGGGGGGGGGGGTCCCCCACGCACTCTGAATTGAACTCAGAAGTGGACCAAAAAAACTTCTGGTCCACTTCTGGGTCTGCCGCCGAGCACACGGGGGACCCAAATCTCAGTGGCCAAATCTCCAAATCTTTGCATCCGAATTGGCCAAATTAAATCAGCACAGTAATTTGAATCGCTGTCCCTCTGAATTGGCCAAATCTGAATTGGACATTAGGAAGAACTTCTTCACAGTTAGAGTGGCCAGGGTCTGGAACGGGCTCCCAAGGGAGGTGGTGCTCTCCCCTACCCTGGGGGTCTTCAAGAGGAGGTTAGATGAGTATCTAGCTGGGGTCATCTAGACCCAGCCCTCTTTCCTGCTTATGCAGGGGGTCGGACTCGATGATCTATTGAGGTCCCTTCCGACCCTAACATCTATGAATCTATGAAGAGAATATTTGCTGTTTTGCACAGGCCTATTGAGCACCCCTGATCTAGAGCATTAGTGCCCCTGATCTAGAGCACTATCAACTTGAACTGTGTATATAACTATTTAATTGTTTACCATGCTCTGGTATTACCAGCTTTGAATAACTAGTCCCTGTCACTTTTTCAAGGCTTCCAATAGCAGCCTTTTGCCAGTTGATTGCCTTTCTCTATTTCTAGTGCAGTTAGAAGGAGTACAATTAGTTATAAACACTTACTATAACTATGCAGTTTAACCTAGGGGTGTTCAACCCCCAGCCCATGGTCCACATTCTGGACCACAGAGGTATATCATTTGGCTCATGGGGCTTCCTAAGGGTCTGGATATTTGGCAGTGGGAGAGTGATAGCCGTGTTATTGCCACACTCCTGCTGCCAAATTTCTGGACCCATGAGGAGCCTTGCAGGCCAGATACCATGGTTTTGCATGCTGGTACATAGCTTCATTGCATCCAGGCATATAGGGTCAGACCATCATGTTGGATCTGGTCCACAGCCTGAGTCTGTGTCCCTCATCTGGCCTGTGGGACCAGGAGGTTGGACACCATGGAGTTAACAGCTAACAATTGAGTTTCCAAGTAGACATGGGGTGGACAATGCTATACACTTAAGTGCTTCATGCACTTTAATCCAGTGATTCTCAACTGGGATGTTGAGGCATGGGGTAACACAAGATCCTTTAGAAGGGTACTGCAGGAAGTATGAGGCGATAAATGAAGGTGCAAGGAGATAAGCAGATATGGGCAGGCTTAGTCTCTCCATGTCTGGCTGCTCCCCTGCTCACGCTACATGGCCTCTTTGCAAGGAGGCAAGTACTGTAATAAATTAGCTTTTGAATGGGGTGCCACTCAATTCCCAAGTCATGCAGGGGTGCCTTGAGGTTGAGAACCACTGACTTAATGTGCAAAAAAAAGAGGCTAAATTTCAACATTGGGTAAGAAACTGGGACTGACATGATGTGGTTAAATGAATGATGCACTTCTCCAGTATGCATACAAGAGGCAAGTACACTTTAGCTAAAATACCTTGAAATTTCA